TGAAATGTTGTTAACCTATATTGAAGTAATCTAATATACTTCAACTCTTTATTGTGTTATTTTTGAGTAATAAATACGCTTTAGGGTTATGTTTTTTAACATTTTAGTTAAACATATGTATGTATAGATACATTGTGAACAGTGTCACAGTCATCTGGAATCACTAGTTATTAGTGTCAATATTTTGTTTTACATTATTACTTCAGGTTTTTTTATAACTAGTATGAATACCATATTCATATTAATTTTTGATTAGTAAATAAGTCTTTTCCGCTGAGTTCTGCAAGTAACTCGTTTAAAGTAAATGCTCTTGATACAGAAGGTTATATTTTCATCTCCATACGGCGTAATAAAGTGCCAACGGTGTCCGTTTCATAGATTTCAATTGGGAATGATTAGTGTTAATTTTACGTCAGGATTAATCCAAATCTTTAAAATTACACGTTGGAGTGACGAGCGGTTTGTAGAATTCAATTCCGAAGGTAGATCACATACACGGTAACGATCTTCCACTGTAGGCGTGCGTACCTCGGAGATAATGAAATAACAATAGCATAACATTAAAAACACTATCCTTAGTTAACCACCATCTTAAGTGATAACTTTACAACATACTCCAATCGAATTGCAAACATTTACGTAGATTAACCAATTGATTTTATAATAACAAATCGCATCTTTCCACCATTTAATGACAACTGTCATCAGTCATTTTATCGTCGTCTTGACATCTATCATGCACGATGCACATTCAGCCAGTGCTCAAAATTATTAGTTGCCAGTAACTTTAATCTTTTAAAGTTAACAAACATTTAGCCCCGTTATACAGTTTTATTTTAATTTCGTAATAGTCTTATTCAATTACTTTTGAAGTTTCCTAAGAAATTGTTTACTTGGTTACAAAGTTCAAATTGTGCCAGTTACTTCGTTTTGCAGTATTCTCTGGCATACGCGGACTAATGCTCCCTATGCAACTATTAGCAAAAACTAGTTTGAAAACAGAAATATCAAACTGAAAACTATACTGCAAATTTTACAAAAGATAATATTTTGGAATTCATGGCGAAAACTAACTTAACTGTTACTATATATGTAAAATGTTTGTTTTTGGAACAACCTGTATAAATTCGTGCATGCCACCGTCAATGCAGTAATTAAGGCGCGGCCTCTAACACCCATTATTGTGTTTTCTTACTCGAATATGGATCGCAATGTACAAGAACAAGAAAAAAT